TGGTATTCAAAGACCATACCCATGATTTACTGAAGGACAAACTCATTTAATTCGTATATCAACTCAGAGCACAGCACAGTACGTTTTTGCATTGATACAGACAAGTAAAATATGGAAATATGCAATAACTTATAGAAAATAGTTTACAGTGCTTCTGTTTAAATGCTCAGAAGTTGTATTCCCCAGAACACTGGTTTCTGTGGTTACATACCACCCAATTTATCTCATAGCGTCATTCCATGAAATGAAAGCCAAGCTTGTACTCCGAAGTCCTCTAATTCCTGTCACTCCTAAATGCTGCTGAGTCATACTTACTTATCCAAATGTTACGCTGCAACTTAGCACAAGTGTCACAAATAACATTTTAACGCTTTTCTTCTCAGCATCAAATACACCTTTAAGAAAACATAAATGCTCCGAAGCTGCACTTCCAGCCTGTTAGGTGTTTGCTGCAGCAGAACAACCTCCAGCAGGAGGTTCACTATTAGTCGAGGAGGGGCTTCTTCAAATTAATTTGTTTCAGTTTTCTTCCTTCCTCTCAGCCAGTAACATGCATCCTTATTATCCAGTGTAGAAGAAACTTTGTAATGCATGTGAAACTGCCTACAGAAAGAACTCAGAAAAGGATCGTTCTACCGTTGCCTGCAGATATGCCCTCCCCAGCTTGGTGAGGGTCTGCCTGTTGCATCATTTCCGCAGCCAATCTATCAGAAGACAAATGCTTAAAGAGGAAGCGTCTCTCTGAAGAGTCATTTCTACTTTTCATCTCTTTCATTTTCTCTTTGTTGAAGAAGTCCCTCATAGCTCGTATCTAAAATGTTAAAAAAAGCCCTGCTAGCTATGCAGTAAAATTAAGGTTGCATGTGAACTACCTAGCAGAAGATGAAGAATTTAATGATTAAAGTAGTTTTGGATAATGTAAATTTTCTACTTCCAGTAACTTTTTAAAAGTTTAAACAGGAACAACATTCAAACATAAAAAACTCTCTCATTTTTAATTCCTTTTTAGCCATGCTGAAGTTATGTTTTCACCCTGCATTCCCAAATACAGCCTTAACTCATCTATTAGACTCCTTGGTAGTCTAAGCTGAGAGCACATGTAAGTTCTAGTACCAAACCTTAACTTGGACAGAAGTTGTCATTACAGCTGATGTAGGAAATAAATGCAAGCGGACCTTTGGCAACATATGCTGCCATACATAGACATCATCTGGCTACAATATCTGGTCTGTACACAGTGCACATACAGCATAAAAGTATAGGATAAAGGGGGAGCAAACCAGGAATACTTTAGAAGAGCTTGTGGGTAGTTTCTGTTTACAGAATTTACAAGGAATGTTGCAAAATGTTACACAGATTTTATTATCACAAAACTACAACAGTAATTTTGAGGAAAATGAGCTATAAAATTCTATTTCAAAAAGTGTGAAAACTTTCTCCATATTCAATTACCATCTGAATGTTCAACATCTGGCATCAAACACCTGCTGAAAACGAGCTTTGACACAGAATTTTGGACTAAGTGGATGTTGCATGCCAACTTCTAAGGCAACAAGAAACTCCTCATCCAGAGCCCAAAAATGGAGGGAGACCCTAGAAATGTAGCAGAAGCATTTCCGCACACTGATTTCAGTAGTCAAGTTTGTGCAGAAGTGATTCCACTAGATTCATAGAGTACCTTTAGAGGCAACAGAAACTTGTCACTTCGTAAGCTTTTTGACACTTTCCAACTCTTCTATAGGCTTCCATTTCTGATGGATTGTTAATAGCTGGAAGAAATCAAAAGGAAGATATGAAAGAAATCAGCAAAACCCCGTATTCAATTCTCTCTCAGTAAAATGTTAGTCTTCCCTCCTACAATATCATGGATCAATTTATCAGTGAAAGATTTCTAATAGCTTTACATTAGCCCATTAAAAGTAATCAAAAGCAACAAGGGATATGATATCAATAATTTGTTGAACAGAATCACCCCGATATGAAACAATTAATGAACTCAACAATTATCCCCAAATAATTTTATTTTCCTCATCACCTTAGGTGCTCTACTGAACTAAGATGTTTCTCCTTACAGCTGCGGTACTCAAAAACATTCTCAGTCAATTTTGTAATTCAGGAACCAAGTGAGTGTAACCAGCATTTCCTCTGTGCCCATACTTCCACTGTTAGCAGTGGAACGGGGTAAGAATCAGCTGAGGGCCAAGCAGGCCTGGAATGAAATACTTGAATTCCCCTCTTTAAATAATGCAATGAGATTCATTACACAATAAGCTCCACTTATTTAAAAGTGTCAGTTTCTTTTTTTGTTCTTATTAACATTTTCCTGGCTCTTACACAGCTATTTAAGTGCATTCCTCGTGCTGGAAACACACACCGTTGGCACTATTATTTGTGTTAATTACCTTCTGAGGCTGGGTAGGATCAATGGTTTCCCATGGCTCTGGATTGGCACCCTTGTTAATGCTTAAAGAGAAGATAAAGCAATAAGGTACTGTGTTTTAGGCTGTGAACTTACATACGTTTTTCCAGTTTGAGCAATCTACAACCAGCACAACTATTCCTGTAGGTAAGCAGTTCCCTGAAACACATCTATACAGCTTTGGGAATTTCTCTTTTCAGTGTTAGATAGGAATCAATTATGCTTGCTTTCCTTGTGGCTCCCAGAGCACCAAACACAGCCAGTCTCCTTCAAGCATAACACGCCATCCTAAGGCAAGAAAACTGAGAATCAAAAGCGAATAAAGGCTCAAATAAAAAGGGGATTTTAATTCCGGTGGCTAAAGATGTTCCTTTCTGTCCCTTTGAAGTAAAGTCATTTTCCCATAAGCTGTGCATGGCTGCAAGGCATGGTCGAGCCATCGCAGCTCTGACAGGCAGGGCACACTATCACACGCTGTGCACCAGCCTGCCTGCCTGCATCCCTGAGCCCCCAGCGTCCCTTTGTGGGAGCATCTATCGCCAATTACACCGAAAGCACAGAAAAAACGTGACCTATTCACGGCTGAGAGACCAATCCCTCTAGCCTAAAGGAGCTAATTTCGTCGGCACTTAAAACGCGCCGGTAACTTTGTCATTCCCGTGCTCTGGAACTTGGCTCGGACTTCTGACTCTTCCTAGAAAGCAGGGATCGGGGCAGCGCCAGGCTGCTCCAGCAGCAGCGTTCGCTTACATCACGTCGGATTTGCTGACGAGGGAATAGACTGAAAAAGCAACAGCCCCAACGGCAGCGCAGGACACGACTCCGATCAGCGGGATGAGCTGAAAGACACCGAGGGGAGAGGTGAGCCGCCCGGAGCGGTTACCAGGAACGCAGAAGCTACGTCCGCTGCTTTCCCGTCCCCTGCGCTGCGATGCCGGGCACAGGGCAGCCCCAAGCGGAGCCGCCGGGCGCACTTACTTCTTTCTTCGTTCTCAGCAGCTGGAAGAAGCTCGCGCTCATCCTGCCTGCGGACCTGCAACAGACGGCCCCGTTAGCGCACCGCTCCTCGGCACCGCCGGGTCCCCGAGCGGATACGGCTGTCCATTACCTGGCGGGACGGGAAGGGCAGCACTCGCGGGGCAGCGGTGCGGGCAGCGCGCTCTGCGCCCTATATACGCGGTGGACGCGCGCGGCGCCGCCCACACGCACAGCACCCCGCAACCCGCGGCAGCACAGAGCAAACGGCGCGGGCGCCCCCTGGCGGACGGCGCGGGCGAGGCACGGCGGGACGCGGCTGCGATACCGCGCTCCTGCTCCGGCCTGAAACAGAACTTCTATAGGTCCGAGAGCGCAAAGGGCTGATCCTCTGCCCCAGCCGCGACGACAAAAGCCTTGCTCCGGCGCCGAAATTTGGAACATGCTTTTGAGAAAGCCAGCTTGTAAGCACTCCCATCTAAAGCAGCTTGTACTGCATGGCAACCATCTCCCACCTCCCAAAGAAGTGTTCTTCTATCCTTTTAGTACTCACTGTGCTTTTTGGACCTCACAGTAAGTTAAACACTGCCATTTTGCCTGAGTTTGTAATTAGAATAAGGGAATCTGTAGTAAAACAGAGCTGCTGTGCAGTACTTACTGTATCTCAACCCAGCCCCAGCAACCCCAGTTTTATTTATTACTGACACCACAGATTTTTCAGAAGTGAACTTTTACTGTATTTCATACAAATTGAAAGTGTTAATAAATACAGTACAAAAAAGCAGAAAAGATAAGTGATTGCAAATCTGTCCCCAAGACATACTTAATAACACTCAAGCCACATAATTCCTTTATAATTCAAGAGGTTAATTCTTGACTATAAATTCTTCATAAAATTCCAAGTCTTTCATGCTTAAAGATGGCTTTACAGTCTCCAGTGATTTCACAAAATGTTCCTGTTTTACAGCAGTTGCTTCGAGTCCATTCTCCTGCAATGCCAGCAAGGCAGCCTTTGAAAAAGAAAATATTAGAAGTGCTTCATGGTTTTAAGTTGCACAGAAGTCATTTGCAAGTAATTCAAATATGTTACACAAAACCAAATTTTAGACAAACTATCCAAAAACAGCACTGTACAACTTACAATATTTATGACAGATCAGTGCATGCTCCACCTTTAGTTCTGTTGTCTGGATTAGACAACGTATCCTTGATCACTCTTAGATTTTTTTTTCCAGCTAAAAATGCCACTGTCACTTCAAAGTACACAGAAAAAACTTCTCTGGATCTGAGCCTGAATTAGAAAGGCCGTGTGCTACAGAAGGTAGCATAACTACTTCTACCAGTGCGATCACCTACTTCTGCCTGGAAATCAGAGAGAACCTTTATACTGATTTGGCTTTTTATCTTAAGTTTTAACTTTTGCTCACTCCTGTTTTACTCATTCTCCTTCCATTTTCAGTTGAGGAATAAGCTGTACTACAGTTAGCTTGGTAATGTGTATGAGTTAGTTCTCTTTTTCCCCCTGAAAAGCCTTATAGTTTATTCCACAGATTAACATAAAAACATTCCTTACCTCCTTGCACAGATTTTCAATATCAGCTCCAGAGAAAAGGTCTGTTAGGGCTGCTATATCCTGCAGTGACACGTCAGTATCTAATGGAATTTTCTCTGTGCAGACTTTCAAAATGGAAAGCCTTCCCTGTGAGGTGGCAGGTATTGATGAGAAAACCAAACCAAACAATTACTCCCACTCCAAAACAGTTCAAAATTTAATGTTAGAACTAAGGAAATACAGAAAAATACAAAATCAGAATTATGTTTTTGGTGAAAGAGTAAAGTATTGTTAACAGAGATGTTTACTCTTATGGTTCTCATATTCATGTCTAGTATTCAATTACTCATCACTTCATGAAATGAGACCAATTTTAGATATGTTTCCATACACAGTCTGCTTTGGGTCATCTCTTTTTAGGATGGGGAAGGAGGGCAAACATTTATACCACTGAACATTTACAGGAAACGAAGATTTGAAGAAAGGACAGCCAACGTCTTACAATACTTTCTACAGTTTGTTTTTGTAAACAGACAACTATTTCAGATTGCTGCCTATTTTCTATGAGCAGTGTACCTACATAATCAGGCCAAATATTACTGGTATTTAAATTACAAATGTAATTATTCCCTTCTTCACGTATCTTGAGTTTGGCAACTCATCTCCAGTGAGCCATCCCTCAATTCTGAAGCACATCAGATTATGTTCTTTTTGTTCTGAAAGTATGCTGGCAATTTTTCTCTCCCCATTTAACACCACAGATGGATTTGTGATACATCACCTTTAGATCTGGAGGTGGAATATAGATCACTCTGTCTAACCTTCCAGGGCGCAGTAAGGCATCATCCAACATATCTGGCCTATTTGTTGCAGCAACTACCATGACATCTCTGCTCAAAGTTTCCTGAAACTCTAGCTGAGCAAAGAGATGGTATGAAGGCATTAGTGCAACACAATTAAGAGAGAGAGGTTTACATATTTGTTAACTATTAGTGACAAAAGGGGGAGGGAGAACAGAAAATGCATCTCTGCATGTAATTATTTTCCTTTTGGTATCAGCACTTCATTTTCTTTGAGATGAAAAATGAACCTATATAACAGCAAAAATAACAGTCTAAAAGAATTTGTCAAGGAAGATGATTTGTGACACAAAATGTACCCCAGTTATTTCTGTTCATGAGCCTGTGTTGGTATTTTGTTCAAAGTTTCATTGATGAACAGATTTATAAAGACAGTGAGCAGCCTTCATACAGTATTTTATAAAAAAAATCAGAAATGGAGTAGAATAGCATCTTTTTAAGGTTAAGGATTTTAAGTTTAAAAGCATGAACGACAATTCAAGTTTTTTGACACCTGGGCTGCACTTATCATCCGTACCACACAGAAAAGGGAACTTCAATACCTGTCTTTCCTCATCACTTAGTTCCTCACATCTCCCCTCAAGCTGTAGTTTATTCCCTCTTCTTTCTGTGACTTTCAGTCCAACACCATCCAACTCATTGAGAAGCACAGACAGCACCCGCTCTGAGACACCACGGCCAGTTTTACCGTGCGATCGAGATCCCAGGATAGAATCAATTTCATCCAGGAAGATTATTGCTGGGGAATTTGCTCTCGCTTGGCGGAAAACCTGTTTTTTGGATTTTTAAAAACAAATGTTAATGCGCATATGTTGTTTCAGATAAGGTGAAACCACTTGTTTGCATATAGTCTTATTTTTACTTAGTGATGTGGACTTAAATTTATTCACACGCAAGAACAAACATTTATTCAAGAAGCCATTCCAGCTGCCATTCCTACAGACAAATTCTGCTTTTGAATTAAATTCTGCAATGAAATGGAAACAAGAGGGTGGAAATATTTTCAAAGCTTAAAACTGTCATCATTTTAGGGCTAGACTTCCTGCTCATATACATGGGAAACCATACGTTAGTTATCAATTTCATAATCAGGGCAGAGTTTTAACTACCATTTTTTCACATCTTTGCACCTTGTACAAATTGAAAATTGTACCTGAGATAAAATCTTCTCTGAATCTCCAACATAAGGTGAGAACAGCTCAGCACCACTTACAGAGAGAAAGGAACAGTGACAACTTGTGGCCACAGCCTTCACCAGCGTGGTTTTGGCACACCCTGATGGCCCATAGAGAAGAACACCCTTTGGACGAGCCAGCCCCATCCTCACAAATGCCTGAGGAAATTTCATGGGCCACTCCACACTCTGTTAATACATAAACAAGGGATGAAATTTTCAGTAACAGAACTAAAGATCAAAGGCAACCGACAGAACAGCTGAGCACAATACTCCACTCTTTAGTGCATACATTAATTTGAAAGCAACACAGAATGCTAACTTAGCCTTCCTTGGTAGAAAACACGCACAGCCACTCTTCTGGAACTTCCCTCTCAGTCTCAAATGCAATAAAAGGCAATTCTTGAAGGATGATATGCAAGAGCCACCTCTGGCTATACAATCAGAGATGGACTGCTGCAGAGTTTATTAGCTACTCAGAAGCACACTAATTATTCCACTGTATTATGCTTGCTGCTCTTATCTTGTGATGCTGATGCTAAATTATTATAGTGCTTGTCACTTAATGTAGTAGAAAATAATGCTTAAAATAAAATATAAAACCATGTAACTCGTAAGATAATGCATTTCCATAACATAACATACAGAACACCTTGGAGAACAGGTAATCAGAAACTGCCTCTTGATCTAAATGTATTTGCATGTTACCTGTTTTAACTTCAACTTCACATCTTCAAGACCACCAATCTGCTCCCAAGTGATGGGTTTACACTCTTTGAGTCCAACTGCACCTCGGAAAGAGGATGGCTGAATTTTTTTAAAAGCTTCTTGGAAATCTGCCATGCTAATTAGCACTTCAGCTGAATCCTGAAGGAAAACAAACAAGGTGTATTAGCAACATTTTTAGCATACAGTGTACTTCACAAAAGGCCAAAGACAACTCAATTGAATTCCTGCCCTAACAAGCTCAAGCAGTGCACACGCACAGATGAAACAAAGTAGAACATATTCTCTTCATGGCAAGATCTTAAACACAACTTTATCAGACATAAGTATTCTACAGAAAGTTTTCTCCCTAAATCATAGCTCCAACTACATCAAACAGATGCTAATTCGGGTTACTATACACAAATTCCTAGATTCTCTCGAATAATCAAATAAAACAGGCCTTCACACATTCATAACAAGATGTAATAAAAACTTCCTGCAAAACCTTCCACCCACAAAGAAGAAAATTTACTTTGAAGACAGGAACTTAAGGGACTAAGTGAAACAGCAGGCTTACATTTGTAACACTTGTGGTTTTTTTTTTCAGTAATTATTTTCCTTTTCTAATTTCTGAATTCTTCATCTTGTTCAAATTTTCAAGTAAAACTATGTGCTAATGGAGAAAGGGTGTTAGATAATAATCACGTCTTTCCTCTTGATTGATTTGCAATCATACCAAAGAGCTGTGGAACACAGCCTGCATAACAGCTTCTCTGCAGAGCGCTGTAAGGTCTGCTCCAACATACCCAGTTGTCATTTCTGCCAGCTTAACCAAATCAACGTCTGTAGAAATGGGCATACCACAGGTGAGCATCTGCAGGATGGATCTCCTCTGCGTAAGCGTTGGTGTCCCAATAATAACCTAACCCAAGGAAGATAAAATTTTCAAGTAGTTACTTCATATTCCTCTCATTTCGTAGAACTGGCCAAACAAGTTCGCCTCCACTTTAAACCAACTTCTGAAGATTTATACATACTTATACTGCAACCAAAGAATTCAGGAGGAACTTAACAGTTCATAGATTACAGCTATTTATAGCATCTTTCACACCTACTTTCCAAGAGAATAGTTGTTGTATAATCAGTTCATAAGACACTGTTAGTCACTGTCCATCAAATCCTGTTTTTAGGTAATATAAACAACCGACTTAGCAATAAGATTATTATTCCATTGTTCACAAAGGCTGAATTAGATAACAAACAGGTTTATTTAATTGAATGCATTATGTAAAATTCAGGCTTGGCTATGTGAACTGGGTGCTCGTCTTTATTAATTGCCCCCTTACCACATCCCCTAAACAAAAAGAGAAAAGAGGGCTGAGCACAGATAGCAATGTCTGCTTACTTCTCTGTCAAACCTGCCCGGCCTTCTCAGCGCAGGATCCAAGGCGTCAGGCCTGTTTGTCGCTGCCACAACCACCATCCTATCTTTACCAGCACCAGCACCATCCAGCAGCGTCAGCAACTGAGCAACCAGGCGATCCTCAGGAGCGCTGCTGGAGCTCCGTCGTTTCGGGCACAAAGCATCGATCTCATCAATAAAGAGCACGGTCGGGCCCTCACAGGACATCTCCCTGCCCTTTTCAAAGACGCTTCGCAAATTCTCCTCGCTTTCCCCCGGCCTGGAGCCGTACAGCGCGGGGCCGCAGACGCACAGCAGATACGCGCCCACCTCCTTCGCCACTGCCTTCACCAGGAGCGTTTTCCCCACCCCCGGAGGGCCGACCAGCAGCACCCCGTTGGGGACGGAAAGCCCCAGCTTCTTAAACGTCCTCGGGAAACGGAACGGCAGGTCGACCATCTCCTTCAGAGACTCTCCCACATCGTCCAGCCCCGCCACAGGAATTTCTGCCGTGTCCTCCGTTAAGAGCCTGTACCGTTCTAAAGTCATCACCTCCGTAATCGTCACGTCCGTCTGGGGGGTTATCAGCCCGGCTTCCTCTGTCGCGGGGTCTACGGAGAGAATTTCCACGTGCACCAGGGGAGCGCGGACACGAGGGCCAACAGTCACGACGCAGCGAGGGGAAACGTAGACGTGGGTCAGCAGGTCGCGGACCGCCTCCTGCAGCCCCGCAGGCCGCCCGCGCGCGCCGCCCCGCAGCACCGCGCGCACGGCCGCCCCCCGCAGGCGGCGGGAAGACAGCGGCTGCAGGCAGCCGGGGCTCAGCGTCAGCCCGCGTGGGGCCGCCGCCGTCAGCCCGGTGCTGCAGGCCGGGTCCGCCTGCACGTACCCGTCCGCCAGGTCCGGCCGCGGCCACGCCGTGCACAGATAGCAGCCGGCGGGCAGGGAGATCCGCAACGGAGCGCCCAGCCGGACCCCCAGGGAGGAGAGGGCGGCGGGGCCCAGCCTGCACCGCTGCGTGCCTTCGTCCCCGGGGTCCGGGGGTAGAAGCTTGAGGGGCGCCGGTTCCATGGCGGCGCGCTGCTCGCTCACCCGCAGCCGGCGGCACGCCGCCCTCCCCCGCGGATTACAGTCCGCACCACTTCCCGCGCCTGCGCCGCGGTGCGAGCACGCGCACGCGGTGGGGCTCCGCCTCCCCTCACACGTTCCCGCCTCCTTCCCGTGAGGCCCGGCGGCTCTTGGGTTCGCTGGGCGGAGTGCGTGTTCCACCGGTGGCTGGGGTTGCGTAAGCTGTAGCAGCAGGTCCGCAAAAACCTGCTAGGATGCGAGATAAAACCATCATCTGTGAGATTTATGGTGTGCATAATTTCAGTCTCGTCAATAGCTTGATTTTGAGTAAAATTGCACGCACAGACTCCACTTGAGACCCCCCCCACAGAACTGGGATCCCCGTCTCACGGGGCGGGCAGGGATGCACTTCAGGACCGCGCTGTTCGTCCTTCTGACGGCTTCCCGCTTTATCATGGTCCTGTGTGAGCCAAGGGCTGTACACAAAACAGTACAAAAAGAGGCAACGTTGTTAGTTCAGCTAATTCTAAATACCTCATAGGAACTCATTAAAGAGAAGCAGAGCCACAAAATTATTAATACAGCTTTTTGAAAGTGCGCAAAATTGCCTTTTTTTTTTTCAGAGAGAGCGAATGGCAGAATGAAAACCTTGTTTATGAGTATCCATGGGAAGCATTGCTGAGTGGCTGCCCTGGATTGGAATGCATACCTTTGAGCGTTCCCAAAACTTTTACAGACCCAAGGTTCAATACCGACAAAGTGGCAAAAAGATCTACCTACAAGAATCTTGTCTAAACTGTCAACCCCCCCGAAAAAAAACAGCAATAAAACCAAAAGCAAAACAAAGCCAACACAATTTTCTCAATATTCACTAGATGGCAGCTGATCTTCAAGAATGACTCATTTCTCCTTGCAGATCCAACAGTTCCGAGGGAGTAGACATCAGCTTTTAGAGAAATCGAACATTGCCCATCACTGTCTTTGCTGTGTTTCAAATATCAAACTGAAAATCCAACACAGTGAGTGTTCAGATATTTTCAACTGCATTACTTTCTGCTTTTTTTTATGTTCAGTTTCTTACTACTAACTTATGGGGAGGAATGTTCCCTCATCATTTGCTTTTGTATTTCATGGCCAGCTATACTTCTTCTAAAGAACGCCTGCAATATGCAGTAATAGTCTAAAGAGAAGGAATGCTTATTTGACTTTATATATACCTGCTATTTTGGTGGAATAAAATATTGTTTGTAATTCCCAATTCACTGTAACTAAAAAACCATTCTTATTTTAATAATTATTTGCATTCAAAATAAACAAGCTGAATATACATTTTTAGCATCTTTGATTACATTTTGTCAAACAGATTTTTTTAAACTAAAATTGTCAGTGTATTTAACATTTTTTCTTAAAGGCAAATGGATTTGAAAACGCGCAGTAATATCTATAAACTAAACAATGAATCTTGTGGTGGGTGATAGTTCTGTAGAACTTCACTGAAGGATATTATGGATGCAGAATCATTTGTAGGTATCAAAGGAAACTGGACAAATATTTAGAAAAAAACACTGCTCACCAGAGTTCTCAGGATTGACAAGATCTGTATGAGAAGAGAGCTCATGGAAAATTGTTTCCTAGAAGTCTCCTGTATTTTCTTCTACTTTCTAGGATTTTTCTAGAAATGTAGATTGTGTCTATAGCAATCAGACAAATCAATACAATAGGAAAGGTGCTACAACAGAGGTGTGGTGACAGAAGGACCAGCACAATAGAAAGGTGCTATAAAGGAAGGGAAGATTGCTCACACATAAGATGCTAGGTTCACAGGGGAAGGCTTCACCAAGGGATCTCCAGAAAGAGATCCTTCCCCAGTAGGGGCCAGCCCTTCAATGAGATCCAAGAGAGGTGCAGCCAGGCTCCACCCCTTCTAGTCACACAGCTGCAGTGCTTCCACCTGCGCTCTCAGGGCTGACCAGGTCTTTTCCCTAGGTGCTCAATCAGTGGTTCAGGCTGTGACTCAACAGTGCCCATACAGTATCTTAGAACTTTTCCTGGTGATACATGTGTATTTCTTCATACTTCCTAGGTATTTTCCAGTGCATCCAGGAGTGCTCCCTGCTTTCTAGGGCTTCCTCCAACTGTTTAAGACATCTTCTGCCTTCTAGGCATTCCGTTTGTTCTTTGTGAGACCATTCCTAGTTCTTTCTAGCAATCTGCTTAGCTGCCTATGAAGTCATTCCAAGCCTTCTAAGAATCCTGAGCATCCTTTCTGGGAACATTTTTGGTACTTCCTTTGAAGCCATATCTCGTAAGTTAAGAATATTTTGTATTTTGATTCAGTCTTCCATTGGTCTGAACAATTTATTTTTGCCTCACAAGTTTATATGAGTTGCTGCCTGATTTAAATAGCAGGTCACTTCATTGTTTTCAGTCATGTAAAGGTGAATTGTCCATATATTCTAATGAAGAAGGCATTAGTGGTATTATTATTGTCAGTAAATTCTATTAAGGACAGAAGCATTTAAGTTGTTAATTACTTTTTCTTCCTCCTAACCCAATGCAAACAAAAACACTGTGGTGCTTCTTGCTTTTGGAAACAAATACTAACATATCCACTATATACACTGGATATCTGGCATTACTCTTTACATCATTGTTGATATAGCATTTACTTGGTAAAAAATGTTTTTATGCTTTCCTAAATCACTCATACAAGCTCTCAAAACAGGGAAATCTGATCATATATTTGTCCAATACCTGTGTGTGTCACCAGTAGCAGCACATATTAGCAAGTGAAAACTTAGAAGAAAATAGAAACAAGTGACTAAGGTGACTCTTTACTACTAAAGCATTTAATACACTACAAAGCATTTTGTTTCTGAATGCTCTTCTGCACTACCTGTATAATCAACAAACGTACAGAGTGGTTGGGGTGGTACCAATGGAGCATACAGCTAGAAAGATTTCCATGGCAAAAAAAACAAAAACAAAAACAAAAAAACACTCATCCCTACCCTGGGCTGGTAGGAAAACTCAAAGGGATCAACCTCCAGACAAAGGACCTTCCTTAGTGGCAGTCAGCCCTTAAATGGGGTCTTGGAGAGATGCAGCCAGGCTCCACCCCCTTCAGGTCACGCAGCTGAATTGCCTTCACCTGTACTCCCATGGCTGACTCAGTGCTTGCCTCAGGTGATCAATCAGAGGTTCAGGTCGTGATTCAGTAGTTCCCGTACAGCTACCTCATCAGTAAAGACAGTTGCTAAAATTTATATCTGATCTTTTAGAAGTAATAGTTCTTAGATGTTAATATTTCTTCCTTTAGTGATGTCCTGGTGGTAGCATGTAGAACCTCATTCCAATGAGTAGAACTTAATGAAAAATCATTAATGATTTAACAGGCTTTTCAGAAAGCTCCTAAAACTTATCAGATCTCTGGATACACTGAAGTGTTAATTACCCTGTTTTCAGCTGGGGCCTCCACCCACACCTGTGCCCATGGGTGATGCTTTATTTAAAGCCTGGTCTTTACTACCTGAGCTGTATTATTGATGTTTGTCTTCAGAAGTGGTAGTACTACATCTATGCTTCTCATGGGTGAGGGCCTGCCCTAAGGCAGGCTAGACTAGTTTACCTGTGGGCCTGTTTCATCTCTGTTAGTTTGTTTGGTGAGTTGGGCTCCTAGCTGACTTCTTCTCTGCATCACCTGGTTAGCGTGGGCTTGAGCCTATCAAGTTTGGTTTTTCATCTTATAGAGCTGATAGCCTTCGTACTGTGACAAAAACTTTTTTTTTTATAGTGTCACCAGTATATTATTGTTATGTGGGAATACGTGCATTGGAGATGTTCATCATGAATATGGACTTCTTTAAGAAGTTGACCTGTAAGGTTTCATTTTTTAACTTATCTAAGTCCTTAATAAATAGTGTTCAGTTATTACGTTTGTCTGTGATTACTTTTGAGTTCCTGAGTACTTTAGGTTCCTGTATTGGAAATACTATGTCATGGCCTGAAGCAGAGATTGAGCACCTGGTAAAGAGGTAGGGCCAACCCAGGTGAGTTCAGTTGCATGCAATGCAGTGCACCTGAGTGACTGAAAGGGGTGGAGCCAGGATCAACCCCTTCCCAGACCTCATTTAAGGGTTGAAGCAGTAGAGGTAAGGGTGTCTTGCTGGAGGTTCACATGTACGTGAGGCCTTCTGAGAGTAAGTAGATTCTTTCTTATATCTTTCCTTTATTGCTGTGCTGTGGCTGCTGCATTTGAACGTATCCTCAGCTGTTGTAGCCTGGGGCTTTGCTGTCGTTGCTGCACTTTCCATTGCATGATGGTGTTACAGTTCCCTTATTTGTATATGCTGTGAAAGCTGGGTCATGTGTGATTTTTCCTTCTTACCTTTTTTGTGTCTGGTCTGTGTAACTTATAGTAAGGCGTAATGATGTATGCTGGCATCTTATTCTTTTGTTGTGAGCACTATGTTCCTTAGTGTGAAACTCAAAGGTGCTGGGATAAGCTGTAATTCAGCCACTTGAAATGAAGAATCACCTGTTGTACTTGCAGGCTATGACACTGTAAAGGTAGAATGCGTGAGCAGAAGTTGCCTAGTATTAAGTGGGGAGGTTGGTGGCCCTGTATGTGGCAGGGGGGTTGGAGATTCATGATCCTTCAGCTACTTTCCAATCCTGGCCATTCTATGATTCTCTATGATTCTGTGATGATTATTTTGAATAAATGTTGGATGGGACATAGGATAGCCTATTCTGTTGAACCTGCTTATATTTAACATATGTACATACATATGCATACAACTTCTACAACTTTAACACAGGACTTACCCATGTGTGTAAATATTCTTCACTTTTTGACTCTGATTACATGTGCAGTTCTACAGAATTGTTTCTACTTCTCTTTGAATTATCAGGTAATATCTTAAACTTCAGCAAGGTAAGAACATCTGTTTAATGGTATTAAAATAACTGCTTCTAAGTGTGTAGGACAACTTAATTTCTTAGTGCCTTTGAAAATGTATTTCATAATCTGAAGTTCT